TCTCTCTCTCTCTCTCTCTCTCTCTCTCTCTCTCTCTCTCTCTCTCTCTCTCTCTCTCTCTCTCTCTCTCTCTCTCTCTCTCTAACCTCTTCCCATTTGTGAGGGTCAAATAATCTCTAAAATTTTAATGCTGTAATGTCTTCCTTAGTGCAAATCCAAGTCATAGTTTTTCCTTGGTTACTCTAAAATTGTCTAAATTCATGCGAAGCAGAAGCTCCCCTCATATTGCAAGTCATGAAAGACCATGGTTAAACGAAGTAAATCTGTGCATGAATTTAGAGTAACCAAGGTTAAACAAAGCTCCCCTCATTGCAAGTCTTTCAGCTCCTACTGCAAGTCACGAAAGACCATGGTTAAACAAAGTAAACTGTGTATCCTACTGATAATTATTTTAATTACACCACTTCACCATTAGACAACAGAAAGCTCCCTGATTTATTTCTGTTGGCTTCAGCTTGACTCCTTGGCAATGCTTGGACCATTTAAGATCTTAGATGCTAAAATTGAAAATTCCTTCGGTGGTTTTCATTGACTGTATTTCATAATTTTCATTATAATTGTGCACACTTTTGGAAGTTTGTAGTATTTACTGTTTAGGCCCTTTAGGGTCACCATTCATTTTTCATTTTGTATTGTATGTTCGCATTTTGTTGATGGGCCCGTAAGAGGTCATGGGCTGCTTCACAAGTAGAGTAGAGGCAAGCAGCAAAGCGCTTGTACATTGTACAATGTGAACTTTAAGACTCTTTAGAGTCTTGGGAGTTGAGATAAATCCTTACGCTTACATGGAAGCAGTCGATGGTGTTGACTCATGATCTTTTCCGCCAGAAGGGAAGGAGGCGTGGGTGTGTAATTGATGTAAGGGATGCTGGACCTGGCTTCCACCACTTTTTTTTTTTTTTTTGCCCGAAATTAACAGGCCCCTTCTATCCTGGGGGGCAACAGTCCGGTTACTTATCACCGCAGGGCGTCGGGGGAGGGGGGGTTCCCCTAGCAGCTCCTCAGGCCACATAACACCTATGTTTGCCTGTCACTATCTCATGCACCATCTTACCCAACCCCTATTACCCTTTCTTCTACCTAAGCCGTATCCTCCCCATTTATATCAACCCCTATTACCCTTTCTTCTACCTAAGCCTTATCCTCCCCATTTATACCTATTCCGGCATTATATTGTCCTAATATCCTTTTATGCCTGGTTTCCAGCCCTACCTTTTTAAGCCCCCATTGTTCCGGCATCACATTCGTACTTACTTTATCTTACTTTCCAATTACTCCCTTTCCTTCCTCACTTTACCGTTTTCCACCACATTTTCAAACACATTTAATAAAGCGCTTTGTTATTAACAACAACAACAACAACAACAACAACAACAACAACAACAACAACAACAGATTATTAAATTGGGAATGCGGCGAAACGCCCATGATATCATGACAAAAACTCTACCTCAGAGTTTTTGCTAGCCCACCCAGCAACTGCATTAGCAGATTCGCGCAGGTGAGCGGTTCCTCTGCCGCCTCCTCCCATCAGCAAGGAAGTGGAGCATATGGAGACCTCTGAAGCCTGAGCCACAAACATTGAGTTATTGGTGTCACGCTCTTTGCGGATGAGGTTGCACCATCCCACCTGCGACCATAGGAACAACAAGAGAGCTGTGCTTAGAAGTCCTTGGAAAATAGACTTTGACTAATGACAGCTGCCTACCTTTATTTTATTCGCAAACACACAAGTTGAGTCTTTTGAGAAAATAGTAAAATACCACCTAAAGTAAGACAAGTGAAATTCCCCGCCACACAATGTGCGCGCGCACACACACACACACACACACACACACACACACACACACACACAGTGTCACACACCAAATAATAATAATAATAATAATAAATTAAAAAAAAGAAAGCACTTCAGGCCCTTTACAGGGGATATTGCCACCCTCCTCATGCTCACAGCATTCAGCCCCTTTTACTCTTTAATAATGGCTGTGCCACTGTGTTCAATATAAGAAGGTTGTACTTCTTTGTACGTGTTTGGGATTTTTGTATGGAAAACGTCATCCTGCAATGGGTTGTGGCTACACACACACAGACACACACACGCAAAAGAAAAGCACAGAAGAGCAGTCACATACTTCTCGCAGCAACGGAGATCATCAACTAGATGGAATATCAAACATGTGAACTGCCAAATGAACTCACCACGTCTGCACATGGGTTATGTGAAACCCTTTACCTCTCTCTCTCTCTCTCTCTCTCTCTCTCTCTCTCTCTCTCTCTCTCTCTCTCTCTCTCTCTCTCTCTCCCCCCCCCCCCCCCCCCCCCCCCCCCCCCCCCCCCCCCCCCCCCCCCCCCCCCCTCCCCCCCCCCCCCCCCCCCCCCCCCCCCCTGGCATCTTTTTGGAATGCTCTCGTGGACATCCTTTCGTTGCGAATGGTACAGGCCCAAGAACTGCAACACACATCATTAACCGCCTGCATTGCCAGCTCACCTGATGCCCAGCTCTAGAAAAGAGAGAAGAAGTTGAAGCGAGGAGAGGAAAGCATGTGATTAAGAAAAGGTGTCCGCTTGACTGAGACCATTCATTAACCGGACTGGTAAATAAATTATCTCCCAGTTTGCACTCCACAACCTGAATGGCTTCATCCTCAATTTCACTTTCCACACATGTCGTTCTCCATGACTTTCGCTCCCATGATAACAAGCACCTAATTTGAATGATTGCATATTTTGAGAACGATCGGATACAGGTCACTTGCCCGCGGGCTGTATACTTTCTTTCCCTTTCTGGGTTCTGAGTCCTGGTCCTCCATCCAACCATATGCTTGATCATCATCTGTCCTTGGTCTGACTCATTAAGGATGTGTGTTGCAGTACTTGGGCCTCTTTTCATCAATGGCTAGAATGCAAGATGATGCATCCATTGGAGCATTGCGTGAGGGAATAACTGTCAAACTGTTGGCTCTGCCAAACGCATAGCATATTTGTTGTAAATGATAGAAGCGCTAAGAAGGCAGGGTATACCCATTCACCTTGAAATGAAAGAAAAAAAAAGAAAGAAGAAAAAAGAAAAAAGAAAAAAGAGAAACGAAAAAAGAACAAAGAAAAACGAAAAAAGAAAAAAGAAAAAAGAAAAAAGAAAAAAAAAAGCCAGGCTATGCATTCGACATGTTTAGAACAGATATCAAGGTTAAGGTGGTTATTACTTACAGCGTAATCAGTTAGGAACTTAGGGGACTCTGCAGACTGTAGAGGGTTCAGCCTCCTCATGAGTGGGTGAAACCCCAACGAAACAGTTTTTCACAGCCCCTCGTTTGTTGTCCTCTTCTCCCTCTCTGCCTAAGGTTTACCGGGCAGTTCCGTTTGATGATATATCAGGACGCTATCAGCACCACGCTGTGGAGTGTCAGGGGAACGTTCAGTCCTTTTCTTTTTCTTTTTGCCGGATGAACAGATCCTTAGGGGGGCTGCCTTCACATTCGGCCGGCGGAGCATCAGACCGGTTCCTATTCCACTGGCAGCCACTGGCAGCTCAATGATACATACAATAAACCTGATGCATCCTTTCGTTATCTTGGGGTGGCTTTTTTTTTTTTTTTCTCACTGCCAACATTGAGCATTTTCTTTAATGGTGCAGTGGAAGTGTGGGCCGTTAGTCACTGTTCACCCTGTTTTAGCCGTAGGTGGGGCCCATAGCAGAACCAGCAGAGGACCGAACGAAAGCAGATTTTGGAATGGTTGCTCAACTCCCACCGTCCAGTGTCCTGAATGTGAAGGTCTCGGTCGGATCTTCATGGTCTTGGGTGAGCTATGTAGATGGAATTGCAACTGTTGTAGTCCATTATCACCCATTCACAGACAAAGAAGGAGACTTACGTGTTCCAGCTGGTAATAAGACAGATAGAACGTAAGGAAACGGTGGTGGAGAGAACTGAAGATTGCTGCGCTTGACATGCAGAAGGCACAGCTTGAAGCTGAGGAGGAGGACGAGAAGAGAGCAATGACAGTGGAAATAAAGCAGCGGACGAATCAGACGGTGGCGGAGAGACAGCTGAAGAGGGCTCGGCTGGAAGCTGAGGAGGAGGAGGTGTGGACGAGTCAAAAATGTTGGCCAGAGAGACGAGTGCAGAGGTAGTCTGTAGTCTGCCTATGCGGACGACTGGGCTGCCTTGAAGAATGACGTGTCGGTTGTTTCAGCCAGCTGCAGAGCGTGGCCGATAACTTGTCTGCTAAACCGCCGCTCCACACCAGACCCTGCCAACCTTGCCTAAGTCTCCTGCAGGGATCAGATGCAGGCAAGGCCTCCTACCCCGGGACAAAGCTGGACATGCCCCGCAAGTTCAAGGGCGAACGAGATGAGGATGTGGATAGATGGCTTCTATCTGTCAACGGGCAGACTGATTATAGAAGGACCAGTCATGCAGATGATTTCCACTTCGTTTTTTCTCATCTGGCCAACGCAGTAAGGGGGTGAGATGACGTAAGTGCTGCAAGCCAGAGAGGAGACATCATGGAGTATGCCAAACACACCAGCTCGTTGCAGTTCTCCCATAAGTTACGGAAGGTATATGACAATCACGCACCAAGGCAAGCCATGGGGCCACATTTTTGAGTTGGCCGGACAGATGCCGAACTGGATCCGGTCAGGGAAATGCACTAGCTCCTGCATACACCCGAGTTGGGGATGAAAAATCACACGCTATCATGCCCGCACTCTCCTGAACAGGATGACCAGCTACGCGGGTCCCCAGTGAAACGGTCTGCAGACGTACTGCATGATAGCTGATGACGCGCTGAAGTTTGACTCAGTGCAGCAGTCCTCTGAGCGGATGATGGCGACCAGGCTGCCGGCCAAACACCGCAAAAGTTTCAGTTCAGTGTACAGGAGGACCTTCAAGGGGAACACTGCAGTCACTGGGCCAGCGTATTCCAGTGACAGTAAGGAGGCCAGCCCTCCATGAGAGAGGGGGCACAACAACACATCTTAGCTGCAGTTCAGCCAATACATCAGGCTGTGAAGTCTAATGGCATGGAAAGAGAGGCGCGACAGCAAGGAAGAAAAAACGCCACAACACGAGCGTGACAGCGACTCGTTCGGACAAATGAGTATCGTGACAGCAACAATGCTGCCTCAGGACACGAGACCCAGTATGCCTCAAGATGCTGACCGACAAAGGAGCCAATCAGGTTACCTTCCCCACGTCAAGTCATTTTTCATTTGTTAAGTTTTGTGACGTCAAAGAACCAGGGAGAAAGAAGGGGCACACAAACAGAAAAAGGAAACCCTCAAGGAGACTGAAAACGGAGGATTCACCAACTGGCCTAGCTCAGTTGGTACACCTCTGAACTGTTGAAATACAGACCTGAGTAAAACGAGCTCCGCTGGAAGCAAACGAGTAAAACGAGTTTCGCTGGAAGCAAATGAGTAAAATACTACAATCCTGAATTCCCAAGGGTCGGTCAGTTCGATGATCATATCTCAAGGCCGTCGCCCTTTTTTTTTTCTTAATGAAAACGGCAGATTCAAATGGGATGGAATCATGGGAAAAAAAAAAAAAAGAACAGAAAAAAAAAACTCACAAGGGAATTGAAAAGGGAGGATTCAATCGGCACAAAAGACTCTGGTACACTTGAGAACAGAATGGCAAGAAGCGCCATTGCTTCTGGATCGCCTGGATCTGCACCGGCCCTCCCATCCTCTGTACCATCTGCTAAGAATATCCACTGCTTCATTCGCATTCCGTCACTGAACGCATTGCCGACGTGAAGAACGAATGCAACTGTGTCAAAATCCCTGACGCAATTGACAACCAGAAACAGGACCAGCATATTCAGATACTCGATTCTTTTCCCAAGAATTGAACACTTGGCTTACAGAACAACAGTAACATAGCCCTACCAATCAAGTCAGCCAATAGTCAGAAATGCGCTGAAATAGCTAACATTCAGGACGCATTGGGCAGAACAGAGTGGGGAACATGTACCTTGCTATTTCGCTCTCATGATAAACAGTACGCATCATACTTGCAACAGCACCGTGCGCTGCACGACGTACGGCGCGGCACCTGCTCGTGCGCCATACCAGCGGCAGTTTCCCTTTGCTTGCTTTTTTTTTTGCTGTTTTTGTAGATACAGAAGAGTGCAACACCTAAGGAACTGATCTTTTTCAAGTACAGTCGTACATATTTTTTTTCCCGTCCAATTGGGCATGAGAAATAGCCTCAAAAAGTTGTCTGGGACATCAGTCTTGACCTTTATGGAACGGCGTTATTCTCCCACTATTTTTTTATTTTATTTTTCCCCATCCCACAACAAATCTTTGAAGGGGACGCAAGTGACCATTGACCCAGCCATGCGACCCCTTTTTTCTTTTGAGTGAATATTTCCCTCGTGCGTCGCACCGTGCGCGTCCGCTCATGCACCAAACGCGCGGAATTTTCCGAACGGCGTCCGCTTATGGTACAGATAGAATGATTTCCACAGACATCAGGGCATGTGTCACAAGCCCCCCTCACTCAAGTATCGAGGGGGGATTTTCACCGAGCTTGGGGATCTCTCACTCCCCCTTGACTCCTCCCACATTTCAAATCGAACCCAAGCCCCTTCCCCCCCACCAATTATACGAAAGAAAAGTGATTCCTTTCTCTCTCTCCTTTTCTCTCGCCCGGCCTCTTGCTCTCTCCAGATTTTTTATCTCCCATCCACTTTTTGCCACAACATCACCACGGCACGCCTCCCCTTATTATATTAAACTACCAGTACCTGGCCCACAAGCTGGCCAGTCAACGCACCACGACCTTCGAGGTTTGGCGCTGGCGTGATGAATTTCATCAACGGCCTGTTTTTTATTATATATCTGCATTGCATCTTGAGGGGAAAGACTCTGAAAGAGCGATTTCGATATCAAATGAATGCCTATGAGATTCGGCAAATTTTGGATTCCGCATATGGAGGTGGGAGGTTCACGTTCGGAAATTCTGAACACAAACACACAAAGGAAGTGAGGGGATGTGTGTGTGTGTGTGTGTGTGTGTGTGTGTGTGTGTGTGTGTGTGTGTGTGTGTGTGTGTGTGTGTGTGTGTGNAGAGAGAGAGAGAGAGAGAGAGAGAGAGAGAGAGAGAGAGAGAGAGAGAGAGAGAGAGAGAGAGAGAGGACTGGGGGAAGGGAGTGGGAAGGAACGATCCACTTGTACAAAGAATCAGTACGAAGGATGATCTCTGCAGTCGAGGCATCTCTAGACGAGGACTATCTGTAAACAACTGAAAGTGAAGGGACTGGGAAGTAAATCAATATCAGGAGGGGGCGGAAAAAAATAAAAAAATTAAAAATATTCAGGAGGGAGCCAAGGGCCATAGGGCAGGGAGGCAGTTCCTCCTGCCCTCCACCCCACCGTCCTAGGACCTCATGTTAGAAGGTTTACCTGCCATATGGAATGTTCTTCAGATCGGCAATCGGGGTGGAGACTCGGGGAGAGAAGTCTATCCTGGTCATCGCAAAACAAGGGCAATCACACACCGCAACCGGCAGATATGTCAATAAATTAAAAAGAACAGAATGAAAATTCTGCATGTAGGACTGACGCCCCCCAGAATAGAAGGGGCTTGTGTGTTGTGGGGAAAAAACTTCAAAAAAGTAAAAAACAAAAACATTATGTATGTCTTGCCATCACATAAGCAGTATTAAGCACCCATAACAGAAGCACCCATGCACTTCACCATGAGCATACCATGACCTATATTGCATGCCCACCTTTGACAGATATGTCAATAAATAAAAAGGAACGGAATGAACATCGGCATAGATTGACATCACAGAAGCAGCCATGTATTTCACCATCAGCATACCATGACCTATGTTGCATGCGACTTTGGGTACCATAGTGCAGACCCCAGCTTGGCATGTCGCAGGGTCGTTTGAATGCAGCAGCATGCGGTCGCAATAATTTAGATGGCTGTTGTACCTTCTGCAGAAGAACTTACGACCCTCAGCAGTTTTACGAGGTCCGATGGGCTCCTGAGATGCAGCCCCTCTAGGAAATCCAAGGGTCATTTAGGTGCGTAGATCTCAGTCACCCTGCCCCCTTTCCATCATGGATTTATGTACGGTGTACATCTCATTCACCCTGTTCCCCTTTCATCACGATTTTAAGGGTCCTATGAGTGCTCTCCGGAATGTAGGGGTTATGCAGGTGGAGGCCTCAGTCAAACCTGCCTTTCGCCAAGATTTTCTGATCAGTCATGCGTTAGGGGCCGCCTCATTTTCATAATGATTCACAGGGCACTACCTGTCCTGCTCTAGATGATCAACGGGTCATATAGGTATAGAATCTATAGATCTAACACATCCCGACTTTGTTTTCATGATGATAATCAGGGTGTCTTGTCTGCAGCACCCAAAATTTCCCTTCTTTTCATGTTTTCAAAGGTTTGTGTATGCTTTTCATCGTGTTCCAGAGTTGCACACCTCAACGGTCGGCGACCCTTGACTGGTCGGCTGCCGACCCACCGACCGGTTGGCTGGTCGGCACCTACCGGGCGGGGGCTGTTGGCACCCCGGAAGAAAAAAAAAACACTTTTTTTTTTTTTTGGGGGGGGGGGGGGGTGCAGAACCCCTAATAACACCACCAACACCCCCATAGCGGCCCCCAATACCCCCA